GGCCTGCTTGGGTCCCCGCCCCGGTTGCCCGCCGCTCCTGGCCCCGGTCTGCAGGCGAGCGAGGCCGATGGCGGCGGCGGTGCTGAGGGACCCCCCTCAGGTAGGCGCCGCGACCTCCGGGCCTCACCCAAGTCCTAGAGCCCAGAAAGAGGGCCCTGCAGCCCGGGCTGCAGGGGTCTGGCACAGTGGGGCGCTGGTGGGTGGGGACCCCATTTCTGATGGGCTGCTTGCTGGGATGTGGGACAGTGACAAAGGGACGACTGAGCCGGGCTGGAATCCGCATTGTTACTGCAGAGAACAAAGTTTGAGGTAGACTGGCGGAGGTGTACTTCGAGAGCCACGGAGAGTTCTCAACAAAAGAGAGAAACGATCAGAGTTAGGGTTTGAAAATCTCCCCGAAGTTGGTTCAGTGGAAGAAGAAATTTTAGAGGGTGGCGAGGCCATTGAGGCAGATGGATTTTAAACCCTCTTGCAAGGTCACAGGACAGTTAAGAGGGCGCACTAACAGCTAGGGGTTAGACAGTCAACTTGGGGTTACCTGGCTGCGGGGCGGGGATACAGGGAAGGCCCACAGGTGGAGCACCACGCTGTCACGTTTGCAGGTGCTCTGCCTTTCCCACAGGTTCCCCTGGCTGCAGAAATGCTTTTGGAACCTACACTGGTAAGTGGAAGGTGTCCAGGTCTGTCCCTGCTCCTGACCTCCACCCACATTCTCTCTGGTTTTGTGGGTCCTGGGACTCTTCACATGCCAGTCTCCCAGACCTTGGGTTTGAGAACCCTACTAGAGCCCACTTCTATGTACTTCATTTTAGTGGAATCACATAGTATTTGTTGTTTTATGTCTGGATCATTTTCACTTAGAATCACCAAGGTCAGAGTTCTGTGTCCATGCTGGGGGAGGGGGTTCCCATTTAGGGCCAGCAAAGGAAAGAGATAGGGAAATTTATTGGAAGTAAAGATACCAGTATATGAAACTGCTTAGATGTGAACTTATCCAGGGAACTGTAGTGTCTCTCTCTCTCTCTCTCTCTCTCTCTCTCTCTCTCTCTCTCTCTCTCTCTCTCTCTCTCTCTCTCTCTCTCTCCTCTCTCCCTCTCAATATTCTGGTGGCAGTAAACTCCAGGAGTGGGGAGGCAGAAATCAGACTTGGAATGACTGCCTGTGAAGTTAGGCATCTTATTATGGAGGTGGTAGGAATTTTGGATCAGCAGAAACAGGTTTTCTTACCCAGGTGTTAACAGGTCCTATCTGGTTGCAGAATGAAAAACAAAATGAACGAACATAGTGACTAACAGGAATGAAGAGAGAGCAGGTACCAAATGGCACCAGAGTTGAGGAGCTTGGGAGGAAAATGGACTTGGGGGTAGTGTGTGAGTCTTCCAGAATAAGACTGTTCATAGTTTCATCAGTCCCTGTCTTGCCAGGGCAGTGTGACCTTTGAGGATGTGGCTGTGTACTTCACTTGGGAAGAATGGGATCTTCTCAATGAGGCTCAGAGACACCTGTACCTCGAAGTGATGCTGGAGAATTTGGCACTTACATCTTCACTGAGTAAGGTCCTTACACCCACCCTTATGCTTTGGCCTAGATTCCTTCTCCTTTAACTCATGAACAGCTCTGTGCTCAGATGTGGAATAGCTCTGTGAGTAGGTTCTGTGGACTGAGTGCATTCCTATTCTCCTCCTCTTAGTGCCACAATACCTCCTGCCCCAAAGCCTCACAGGTAAGGATTTGGGATCAGTGGTCCTGTTTTAAGCCAAATAGATTCCACCTAGCTTATCTTTTTTTTCTATCTATTGAATGTCGAGTTCATGGCACCCTAGTTTTTCTCCCTTCTTAACCTGACAAATGTCAGTAAGTCCATGCCTTACTGTGCCATGAAATATATAATTGTTGACACTGTCAGTACACACAGATTGTTCTTGCAAGAACCATCTTCCAAGGTGTTTATTTTTTAATTGTGGTAAAATGTATATAATATAAAACTTAACCACTTTAGCCATTTTTAAGTATACAGTTGAGTATATTTAGTACATTCACATTGTTGTGCAGTCATTATCACCATTCGTCCATAGAACTTTTTCTTGAGAAACCACAACTCACTACACAATAATGGTTCCTATCCTCTGGAAACCATTCCACTTCCTTTCTGTCCATACGAATTTGACAACTTCAGCTATCTCATTTTAGTAGAAACACATAGTGTTTGTTCTTTTATGTCTGGGTTATTTCACTTAGCATAAATTTTCAAGGTTCATCCATATCATATCATTAGTCAGAATTTTCTTCCCTTGAAAGACTGAATAATATTTCACTGTATGTATATATTATTGTTTATCTAGTCACTCATCAGTGTACACCTGGGTGGCTGGTGGCATGTGGGTGTACAAATATCTTTTCATTTTTGCTTTTAATTTTTGAACAAAATTTACCCAGAAATGAAATTGCTAGATCATACAGTAATTTTATTTTTAATTTTTTTAAGGAATTTAAATTTTTGTTTGTTTTTTTCCATTGCAGCTATACCATTTTACATTGCTATAGTGATGGATTCCAACACTTCACTGTTTTCTGGTTTTGTTTTTAGTTTGTTTGTTTTTGATAATACCCAAATGGATGTGAGGTAATGTTTTATTGTGCTTGTGATTTGCATTTTCTCATCACTAAGTAATGTTGACCATCTTCATGTGTTAATTGGCCATTTGTAGGCCTTCTTTGGAGAAATGTCTTTTAAAGTCCTTTGACTATTTTTTAATTGGGTTTATTATTATTGCTGTTATTGAGATTTAAGTATCTATATAGTCTGAATCAGGTATGTTCTACATCAGATACATGATTTGCAAATGTTTTCTCCCATTTTGTGGGTTACCTTTTTGTTTTGTTAATAGTGTCTTTAGATGGAAGAGATTTTTGTTTTGATGAAATCACCTCTGCCTTTGATCTAATGAATCATTGACAAATCCATGTCCTGAAGATTTTCCGGTTTTCTTCCAGTTGTTTTAATCACTTACATTTAGACTTTTCATCCATTTTGCTTTGTTTTGCTTTTTTGCCCAGGCTGGTCTTGAGCTCCTGGGCTCAAGTGATCCTTCCAACTTACTCTCCTAAGTGCTGGAACTAGGTGGTGTGTGCTGTTATGATGACAGCAATGGTCTCATTTTAGTTTTACATGTTTGTATCCACTTATCTTAGCACCATGTGTTAAAAAGTCCATCCTTTCATCCTTTCATCATTTAGTTGTCTTGGCTCCCTTGTTGAGGATTATTGACTGAATATTTGAGAGATTATTTCTGGGTTCTTTATGCCATTGGTCTCTATGTCTGTCTTTTATGGAAGTATAATACTGGTTTTTGTGCTTTTTTGGGGGAGTGATGCTAGGGCTTGAAATCAGAGCTTCATGCTTGCTAGGCAAGTGCTTTACTGCTTGAGCCTCACCTCCAATCAAACTAATGTTGACTGTTTATGGTATTCTTATTTATTATTATCAAAATAGTGTTGACTGGATATGGTATTCTTGTTTACTGTTTTCTTTTTATTGACAGTACTGGGGGTTGAGCCTAGGACCTCCTTCACATTTGCTAGGCAGGCACTCTACCACTTGAGCCATGCTCCACCCCTGACACTGTTTTGCAGTAAGTTTTGCAGCAAGTTTTTGACAGTGTGAGTCCTCCAACTTAGATCTTCTTGTTCAAGATTGTTTTAGCTGTTTGGTTAACCTCAATGTTCTATATGAATTTTAGAATAGAGTTTTATGTTTATACAAAAAATGTCTGTGGGCTGGGCACCAGTGGCTTATACCTTCTATCTCATAGCTCCTTGGGAGGCTGAGATCAGGAAGATCAAGGTTCAGGGCCAACCTGGGCAAATAGTTTGTGAGACCATGTCTTCAAAATAATCAGAGCAAAATGGACTTGAGTTATGACTCAAGCAGTAGAGTGCTAGGATTACAGGAGGGAGCCACTGTGCCTGGTGTGCTGTAGAATTCATATATTTGGTAATTTTTTTGTAATTTTCATTTCGGTAATCACCAAGGATTTTAATTTTTTTGTATAGTTTTGTGTAGCAATTTTGGTTTGGAACCAGTATAGTGCTGGCTTTTGTAGAATGTGTTTGGAAGTGTTCGCTCTACAATTTTCAGTGAGCATTTAAAAAAGATAAGTATTAGTTCTTCATTAATGGTTAGTAGAACTCACCAGTGAAGCCATTAGGTCCAAGGCTTTTCTTTGTTTTTCAGTTTCTGAAAAACTAGTTAAATCTCCTTAATACTTATGGGTCTGTTCAGGTTTTCGGTTTCTTCATGATTCAGTATTGGTAAGTTTTGTTTCCCTGCAAATTGGTCCATTTCGTTTTGTATTATTTTGAAATGCTTTCTGCTTCTGTAGAATTGGTAATAATGTCCCACTTTCATTTCTGATTTTAGTACTTTGGTCCTTCCATTTTGTTCTTCATTAGTGTAGGTAAAGGTTTGTCAGTTGGTTTTGTTGATTATCTCTACTTACCATGGCTCTCATCTTTATTTTTTTCTGCTAGTTTTAGCTTTAGTTTGTTCTTCTACTTATAGTTCCTTAAGATGTAAACGTATGCTAATAACTCAAGATCTTTCTTCTTTTTATAATGTGTTTATAGAATGTAGTTACCCCTTGGTGTTGCTTTTACTGCAGCCCATAAGTTTCAATATATTGTATTTTTGTTTTCATTTATCTGCAAGTATTTTCTAGTTTCCTTTATATAATTTCTTCTTTGCCCCATTGGTTGTATAAGAATATGTTATTTGTTATCTGCATAGTTCTAAAATTTCCAGTTTTTCTTCTGGTATTTCCAACTTCATCTCATTGTGGTTGGAGAATATACTTTTTATGATGTCTGTCTTTAAATTTAAAGAGGCTTAATTTATGGCATAACATGATGTGTCATGGAGAATGACTCAGGTGCACTTGAAAAGAATGTGTATTCTTCTGTGGTTGGGTAGAATATTCTCTGTATATTTGTTAGGTCTGGATGGTTTGTTATATTGTATAAGTCATTTATTTTCTTACCTATCTTCTCTCTGGTTGTTCTCTTTATTTTTGAGATTGGAATATTGATGCTTCAACTGTACTGTAAAACTGTCTGTCTCTTCAATTCAGTCAGTATTTGTTTTGTGTGTTTTGATGGTCTGTTACTAGATGAATAAATGAATGTCCATCTTTTTTTTTAACCCATTCTACTAATCTTTGTCTTTTTGTTTTGTTTTGTTTTATCATTTTTATATTTACTCACATGGGTATACATTGTTTGGGCCACCTCTTACCCCACCCCCCATCTTTGTCCTTTGTTAGAAAATTTAATTCATTTCCATTTAGAAAAATTATGAGGTACTGACTTCTGTCATTTTGCTATTTGTCTTCTATATGCCTTATAACTTTCTTTGTCCCAAATTTTCTACATTACTACTTTTGTGTTCAGTTGATTTTTTTTCATATTCAAACTTTTTTATTTGTTCTCATTTCCTTTGTGTACTTTCTATTTTTTTTGTGTGTGACTACCACAGGAATCACATTTAACATCTTTGTTATAACACTCCAATTTGAATTTATGCCAGCTTACCTTCCTTATCTTTCCGGTGTTCTATTGTATGCAGGTTGTTCTGGGCCATTGAAAGCTGTTCACATGTCCTGTCTTTCTCTCTTTTTTTTTTTTTTTGCAGTACCGGAGTTTGAACTCAGGACCTATACCTTGAGCCACTCCACCAGTACTTTTTTGTGATGGGTTTCTCTGAGATAGAGTCTCATGAACTGTTTTCCTGGGCTGACTTGGAACCATGATCCTCCTGATCTCAGTCTCCTGAGTTACTGGGATTACAGGCATGAGTCACTGGCTCCTGACTCCTGATTTCTCTTAGGACTTATATCACCCTAGTCCCATGGAGTTGCTCAGTTGAGGCTAGAGGAAGAGTCCTCTGTGTTTCACAGGATGTTCTTGATTCCAGGCTGATGCCCAAGATGGATTCAGAGAGGGCCTGGCCAAGGGGAGGACATGACATTACGGTTATGTTCAAATCATACTAGAAACCCATCCAGTTCAACCTGGGTATCTAATGTTCTTGCCAATGACAACTCACTTTTACCTTCTCTTTCTTATAATTGACAGTTTGCTAATTTGTCATTTCTACTGCTTGTCATTTTTATTCTCATTTGCAGCCCAGAGTAAATCCGCACCTCTCTGAACTCCTTATCTTACTGTTCCTCACATGCTTTCTCTGTTTCCTACTATTGTGTCCTGAAGTGTGCGTATGTCCTTTAATAGTCACACCGAGTACTGTTCTAGTTAGATTTTCACTTCACAACATCATAATACTAGCAGATACGATCCTACTAAAAGCCACTCACAAAGGAATGAGTTGTAGAACATGCCTTTTAGTCCCGGACCACACTTTATCCTATGTCCTGTACATGGTAATACTTACTCTATTCTGTGGCCTTAGGAGCCCAGTAATGCAGAGCAACTGCTTCTTCAACTTGATGCCAACTCCCTTTTCCTAAAAGCAGTCCCATAGACTGGTTCTTTGCTTTATCAGATGTACATCAAATGTAATACTGTTATACGTTTTTGATCAAGGTAACACGTATGTCACTATTACTTCTTTGCTTTCAGGTTGTTCACAAGGAGCAGAGCCTGAGGTGGCACCTTCTAAACCCAGCATTTCTATAGGATTGTCACAGGTCAGGACCCCCCCAAAAAATTCATCTTCCCAGAATGCCTGTCACTGTGAAATATGTGGCCTGGTCTTGAAAGACATTTTATACTTGGCTCAGCACCACAGAACACATCACAGGCAAAAACCCTGTACATGTGGAGAACAGTTCTACTTCACTGCAAATCTTGAACAGCATCAGAGGCAGCACATTAAAGAAGCACCCTTCAGAAGTTATGTGGACAGTGCTTCATTTATAAAGAGCTCCACAGTCCATGTGTCAGGGAAACCTTTTACCTGCAAAGAAGTTGGGAAGGGCTTTCTGGCCAGCATGGGATTTTCCCATGAAATGGCCACTCACACAGGGGAGAAACCAAATAACAAGAATAAGTATGGGGTGACCTTTCATAGTGGAAAGAGTCATCATAGCTTGGGAGACTATAAGAACACTTTCAGCTATGCAGACATGCTTGTTCAGGACCAGAGTGTCCTCACTAGGGAAGGACTGTTTGAGTGTAACAAGTGTGGGAAAGCCTGTACACGAAGATGTAATCTCATTCAGCACCAGAAAGTCCACAGTAAAGACAGGCCTTACGAATGCAGTGAATGTGGAAAGTTCTTTACCTACTACTCCAGCTTCATTATACATCAGAGAGTTCACACTGGAGAAAGACCATATGAGTGCAATGAATGTGGGAAGTCCTTTAGCCAGATCTATAGCCTCAATAGCCATAGGAAAGTTCACACTGGAGAAAGGCCTTATGAGTGTGGGGAATGTGGGAAATTTTTTAGCCAAAGGTCCAACCTCATTCAACATCAGAGGGTACACACTGGAGAAAGGCCTTATGAGTGCAGTGAATGTGGGAAATCCTTCAGCCAAAACTTTAGTCTCATTTATCACCAGAGAGTACACACTGGAGAAAGACCTCACGAGTGCAGTGAGTGTGGAAAATCCTTTAGCCGAAGCTCTAGCCTCATTCACCACCGGAGACTTCACACTGGAGAAAGGCCTTATGAATGTGGTGAATGTGGGAAAGTCCTTTAAGCAGAGCTCTAGCTTCAGTTCACATCGGAAAGTCCATACAGGGGAGAGGCCCTACGTGTGTGGGGAATGCGGGAAATCCTTTAGTCATAGCTCCAACCTCAAGAACCACCAGAGAGTCCACACTGGAGAAAGGCCTATTGAGTGTAGTGAATGTGGAAAGTCTTTTAGCTGCAAATCTAACCTCATCAAACACTTGAGGGTTCACACTGGAGAAAGGCCTTATCAGTGCAGCGAATGTGGGAAATCTTTCAGCCAAAGTTCCAGCCTCATTCAACACCAGAGAATTCATAATGGAAAGAAGCCTTATCAGTGCAGTGACTATGGGAAATCCTTTGGCTGCAAATCTGTCCTCATTCAACACCAGAGAGTTCACACTGGAGAAAAGCCTTAGCTGCCTAGGGAATACACACTTTCCTTTTAGTGTAAACACACTGGAGGACACCACCTGTGGAAGAGACATCTACCTGGATTGAAGTTCTAGCATCTTACATTCCAGGTATGCAGAAGATTTAAGGAGCTGTGCTACCTTTCTAACCTGTGCAGGGCCCTTTCCATTTATGCCCCTGACAGTTTCTGAGGCAAGCCACTTCACGTCCACTGCTCACCAAGTCCACACAGTATGTCAGTCACCACAACATGTTCAGGGAAGGCACCTCTGTATTCTCCCATTGCTGAGCCCTCATTCCTTCTCTCTCACAAGTTAGGGCATAAACTTGATCCAGTTTTGTAACATTGACTCTGATGACAGTGGTTGGGACATCTTGGCAAGAAGGATTATCTTCTTCATGGATTATTGTGGATTTTTTCCAGCTTCCAAGACACCAACCTGGAAACTGTCTGCCTCATATTGTTTTAGTTTTTGTAAAATAAAATCTGTATTTAAGCTACATGTAATCTTGGAATTCTGTTTACTTTGTGCGATGGCTTGAGAATAGAATTGGGCTCTATTAGAATTACAGAGTAAACAGCTTTTGTGGTTGGAACTTGGGGTTCCACATAGAGATCACAGTATGTATAATGGGCAACCATAGCCCTCCTTGTAGTTTTGGCATAATATGAATTGTTGTCCAAGGCCTCCTAGGAAGGACTGTAGAGTTTTATGATCCTAAATTGTAAACTGGATGCCAGAATTTTTGTGAGCTCAGTAATACGTTGAGGAGGTAGGATGTTGTCACAACCTCCAGTGCTTCTGGGAACAACATGAACTATTTTGTTTGTTTGCCTATTTGTTTACAGAGTCTATCACACAATACCCAGCACCATTGAGGGCAATAACTACCCAAAGTCCTGCTGAGGAATTGAGTGCTTGATACCCATAATTCAGTAGTGTGTGTGTCATAGGTTGCAGGGAACAGAAGAGCCATGATTGACACAGAAACACTGGAATACTAGAGTGTAGAGGAGACTGCAGCAAGCTATATGAAGTTTGCTCTTTATACAATGTTGTAGTGATTGTAGAAGATCAATGTGCACGAAAGTTTTCAGGATCTCCAGGGATATATGTATCTTCTGTAGCTGAGGTCCTTGTCAATAAAAATAAACCAAAATTTATGTCTTACATCCCAGTATGCTTAATGGAATGTCCAGATAAAGACCGTTGCTTTACAGATCAGATGACAAGCGTAGAGAAAAGGGAGATTCTTTAGGGATGTGGCTTTGCGTGTAATGAATTTCATTGCTCACTAATATTTCTGCCAGTGAGGCAAGGTTGCTCCTCCAAGGATATATTTTCAGATTCTTCAGTGATTCTTGTGAATTGTTCATTTTTTTGTTGAGTAGGGTTTTTTTGTTTTTGTTTTTTCATCTACAGATAGACCAGTTGTTTATCCATTCATCCATTTATGGGCATTTAGATTATTTCTGGTTTTGGGCAATTACACATAAAGCTGCTACAATGTGTACAATATGGTTGAGTTCTTTTGTGTTAATGACTCAAAAGTGCATTGCTTGAGACACAAGGCAGGTGAATGTTTACCTTATTAAGAAACTGCCAGACTGAACCCAAGTGGTTGTTTATGTTTGCTTACCACCGGGAGTGTATGAGAATTCCAGATCTTCCACATCCTTGCTGATACTTGGTATAGTCTGTCTTTTAGGATTTCCCCTGTCGATAAGTGTGCAGTTGTTTTAACTGCATCTCTGTAAGTATTTGTGATGCTGAACACTTTTTGTCACATAAACAGCTCATTTTTATTTCAAAATTTTTGTGTGCCATGCACAGAGGATGGCCATATGCACCACACTTAAGTTTGATTTATATTATTCACATATTCTTTACATGTTGTCAAGTCTGTAGACAATTCAGTAATACAGTGAATCAAACCATGGTTTGAAGAATTTGCCAGTTGTTGCAAACCCTCCAATCATGACCAATTCCAATCTGTCAAAATGGCAGCGCTGAATATGCAGTTAGGAAGAGCTGATAGAAACATACCATCCCATGTCCACCAGAGGACCCAGTAATTTCAAGTTAACCTCTAGAATCTAGATGACACATAGTAAAATGATTAGGAGCTGACAAGGATTTTGTTGTTTTTGTTTTTTATTTTGTGTTACTAAGGATTGAACCCAGGCCTTGCACATGCTAGGCAAGTATTCTACCACCTGAGCCACCCCTATCCCTTTTTGTAATTTTTTTTTGAGATAGTGTCTTACAGACTTTGCCCCACCTAACTTCAAACTCAAAATCCTCCTACCTCCACCTCCTGAGTACCTAGGATTACAGATGTGGACTATTACACCTGGCTGGAAGTGCACACCTATAATCTCAGCACTCAGGAGGCTGAGGTAGAGGAATCATGAAATCCAGGCAAGCCTGGATGACACTAACAAGAACCTACCTCAAAAAAGAAAAAAAATCAGCCAGGCACCAGTGGTTCATGCCTATAATTCTAGCTTCTCAGGAGGCAGAGATCAGGAGGATTGCAGTTCAAAGCCAGCCCAGGCAAATAGTTTTAGAGACCCTATCTCGAAAAAACCCTTCACACACAAAAAAAAAAGGGTTGGTGGAGTGGCTCAAGGTGTAGACCCTGAGCTCAAACCCCAGTACTGCAAAAATAAATAAATAAATTTCACAAACTCAAAATGTACATTTTTTTAACAGGAAGCAGTGGTCCATGCCTTTAATCCCAAAGTGGAGGCAGGCAGGAGGAGCAAGAGTTCATGGCAAACACTGGCAACGGTAGATTGGAGACTCAAAAATGACAGAAAACAAAATGGCACATGGAAGGAACACTTGCCTAGCAGGTGAAATGTCTTGGGTTCAATCCCCAGTACCCCAAATAAATACAAGTAAAAGAAAATACATTTTGATGTTTTGATACATGTTTACACCCCTGAAGTTAAAAGAAATTCATTGAAAACAGCCTATAATAGTGATAATCCCATTAGATTATTCAGTTAAATATGTCAGTTGATAAAGAAAGCAAGACATTTGAAACACTAGTTCTTGGAAAGAAAATCTTGGGCTCTAAACCTGTTTTTCTCACAAAGGATCAGAAAGTGACCAGTGGGCAGTCAGTTTCAGTGAGACACTCAGTGCCTGCTGTGCTCGTGCACACCAGGATGGCTACAGATAGCAGTTGTGCTCTGTGAATCTAAAACAGACAAGGATTATGAATGTTTTTGCTGTCAAGTAGTGGTACACGCTTGAGGAGGTAGTTATGTTTATAACTTGATTCCATGTGATGTATCTACGTATTGAGAGATCACGTGCTACTCCATCAATAAGTACAATTTTTATTTATCAGTTAAAATTTTTCAAGAAACAAAATTGTCCAACATTGTATTTCTGAGTCAAAGCTTACTTTTATTATAAATCCTCTGGGATTGTGTGTCCTTGTTTTTGCTACAGAGAAGCCGTAAATAAGCCAACACAACTCACAGCGTGGGCTTCTGTACAGTGGTGAGAATTTCAGTGACATTCAGGGGAAATAGTTATAGATTAAGGTGTTGCACTCTAGACATTGTTAATATTATCCACTTTTAGCAGAACAGTTTTTAAGCTCCCGATTTCTAAAGTAGTGTTGTATACATACTTAAGGATTTATTGATAAAGTACCTCAATCACATGTTAGCCATCTGTATTTTTGGTACAATTTGTAATAACAAAAATACCACTAATGTTAATGTTTTGGAGAAGAAATGACTGCCTATTGTCTCCTTAGAGACACAGGGCTGGATCTCAAAGGGCACTTCTCACCAACACTGTGCTGGGAGAGACAAGGGCAAAAACACTGTGTGAACCCTCTTATAAGGGCCTTAATCCTATTCATGAGGGAAGAGACTTCAAGATCTAATCAGCTCCTAAAGTCCCACTCTTTAACACTACTGCACTGGAGGTTAAATTCCAACACAAATTTTGGAAGGAATAAATTCAAACCACAGCAGCACTGAGTACACTGTGTTGCAAAAGCCTGGACAATGAGGGCACAAACACAGGTGGCTCTTTGTTCACTTAATTATATGCCTCTTCTGGTTTAGGACAGACTAGGGTTCCAGTTGCAATAGGGGTTATTTTGTACCAAAAACTCCTGGTGTTGAGGGTTCTCAGCCTTGGGTGAAAATCAAGGTATGTTTGAGAAGGCAGGACTGACTCTCCTGGACTTTGGGGCAAACATACAGGTAACACTGCAGCAACAGCACATGCAATATAATTCTTCCTCTAGGAAAAGTGCACTTCAGAATAAAAACGAAATAATGACTATTTCAGGGAGGCGGGGGTTGGGGCAGAGACAGAGAGAGAGAAAGAACACTTACAGCAAACTCCCAAGACATTAAACAGGAAATCTGAAGCCCAGATCTACCCCATGAAAGTAGAGTGAATAAACAGAAATTAACTGGAGGCCTGGTTCTAACAGTAGAATGCTTATCTAGCAAAAGTGAGGCCCTGAGTTTAATCCTCAGTACCCCTCCAAAGGAAGAAAAAAATAGAAATTATGTGAGTAAATATAAAAGGCATTCATTATCATAAGATAACTGATTGCTTAAAATATAAATAGAAAAGAGGAATTATAGGTAGCTGTAATCTATTCTAACAATACCAAGATGATGGGCCCTGGAGAAAAGAAAGTATACTGCTAAATTTCTAACACCTTCAGTAAAGTCATAGGATAATTGATGGTAAGTTAACAGTGTATATTTATAAACCCTAGAGAAACCACTTTAGACCTACAATGCATGTAAAAATAAGCCGTAACAACTGAAAATTTACCATATTAACAAATTACAAAGTAGTAATATTTCATACATGTAATAAGAGAATTTCACAAATTGCAAATCAGTACAATAAAAATTCTTAGTTAATAAAAAAGAAGATTTTTAACCAAATATATCTATGACAAACATTCAGCTAACATATTTAATTGAAATCTGAGGGCTGGGGATGTAGCTCAGT